GGGGCGTTATAATGTGACGGTCAATCCCACTATTCGTTGGTAAAAGAGTAGCCCAAGAGTTGGCGGTGGGTGGCGATGACTAGCTGCCTTCCCTCTAGTCTTACACTGCTAAATTTGGGAAGGGCTAGCGCAGATAGCCCTCGTGTAGCTTTGCGCGAAATTCAAAAACAAACAAACAAAGTGAACAACCAGAAGGCTATTTCGATTCCTGCCCCCCTCCTGGCACAGCGGTACGCCCGCGGACATACAACGATAGAAACCGGGTTTTGATCCCCCGTCGTGGGCAGAGTACAAATAGTCCATTGTGTAGCTTAACTACAAACAAGCAGTTTTGATTTCCTTTTTTTTTCAGTTTGATGTAAAAAGTAACTTTTTAAAACTATATCTAGTTTTTTTTAAACACAGTAATGCGGCAGATAATACTAGAAAATCTGAAACATAGTTACGTAACATAGTTACGTCTGTAGAGGTACCATTTAATGGGTACCTAGGCACTTTGAAGCTAGATACTGTAGTCTCGATTCTCAGAAAATTGTCACTTTCTCGGTCAGAGCCAGTTCTCGAACTCAACTTACATTCTGGAAATATATAGCACACCAGCTGTTCCAGTAAATTGAAATAAAAAGTCACAAACGTCCATTTTATTTCAAACTTTCAAAGACGAGAAATTACACATAATAAGAACTTCTTGTTCAGGTTTGCTACTATTAAAAATTACCTTTGTCCTCGGTCAGTATAATTTCTGTCAGAACTTTGGTCTTCTGATTTTTAATGCCAGTAAAAACAAACACTACTTCTAACTCATCTTAGTGGAAAGTTTAAGGCTCAAACGCTAAAGTTCGGAGTTTGATCCTTGCGGTAGGCATAGCGCAGATAACCCATTATGCAGCTTTGTGCTGACCAGAAAACAAGTTGAAATCATAAAAATTCCGACATGCTTGGTTTTTTTTTCCAGAAGTCAGATAGTTGTCTGAACCGAAAACAAGTTGAAATCATAAAATTTCAGACATGCTTGGAGTTTTTTTTTCCAGAAGTCAGATAGTTGGCTGAACAGAAAACAAGTCGAAAACATAAAATTTCAGACATGCTTAGAGTTTGTTGTTTTGTTTTGTTTTTCCCACAAGTCAGATAGGTGGTCTTTGTTTCCTATTTTGCTAAAATTTTTAGAGAGAAAAAAAAAATCATTATCTTAATTTCATTGTATAAACTCCTCCATTTATGTTGGACAGCAATTTCCACTTCCGTATGGATCAGTTCGCTATCTTCCAGGCAGTATGACTTGTTATTCAGTTGGCGGCTGTTACTTTAATGAACACGACTTTTCGCTGTTACTTGTAAAGTAGACTTTTATAATGCAGACTTCGACGAGGTTTTGTCCATAAAAAAATAACCTT